ATGCACCAAAGCATCCGATGATAAGGCACGTAGTGCCGAATTGTTATCCTTACTCGGTGACCCACCAAAGCATCTGAAAGGCAACAGTAAGAGTATGACAGTTATTGAAATGTAAGAAAAAAAGAGAGAAAGGCGTTGAGATAATACAAGTGCAAGTGGTCAATGGTTCTATACATAATAAACATTACTCACCTTCTAGCAATTTTTTTGCAAAGTGGTATGGAAACCATGGATATGTTTGACAGTCTCCGAATTCCTATCCATACGGTGTTATTCGGAAATACTGAAGTTTTTGCAACAAAAAGTTTTTGTACAACTGCTCCATTGCAAGGTGTGGCTATTGCGTTTAGGGAAAGGGCTAATAAGAGCGGGCCTGGTAGGCACACTAGACACATCAGTTATATTATCAGTTTAATATTCTAGAGACATAAATCGCCTGTGTATTAGTTACAGAACCACTAGGTAGGAATCCTGTCAATTACTACAGTACAATCCTGTTCCTTCAATAGCTACTTTGCACATGCTAATATTGTTATTCAAAAAGGGACTGGGGTGCTGCCAGACTAGAGTTGTCATGCCATTGTTGAAAAAAATAAACTGAGCTTCCTTTTGCAGCTGCTCAGTCGCTTAAAATTTAGCCATGCATCATCTGATAATATTATGAACAGTTTCTATGGGACAATCATTAAGAGAAGCAAGATAGTTAGTAAACATATCCATCATTGAATGACTGGTCTCCATCCAATAAAAGGAGCATGCTTTGTAATTTCTCTGATCAAATTGATCACTTCAGCAATGCATACAGACTTCTTTATGGGCTGACCAATCACCTCCTCAATGATGCCCTTGTAAACCTCAAAAACTAAGGGTATTAAATTACTCAATAGATCAGTCATATTATTTCTTGTATGTATAGTCAAACTTTAAGTAAACCATATCAACAATATCAGACCATGCCATATGTGTAATATGAAGAATTAAATCAATTCTCCATGGCTGTGGTTTCTTACCAAGAAATTTATGCACTCCAAAAATACCTTTATATGGGGCATGCTGCAACAAAACCAGGTAAAGTGAACATTCTATAAATGAGGGGCTGATTATGATGTGGCTGTAAAATTGACCAGTATGACTGATGACGTTTTGAAAAGTAACAATGGTGCTCATTCATAATTTATGGACTTGTCTCAACTTTAATGCTCACTTTATCATACCAGAATGTGATGAATATAAACCATAACATGATTAATATAGGATTACCTCTATATATAAAATATTAATATGAAACTAATTTACATTAAATCCACTATGGAACCAAAGAACTACAGCACCATTAGAAGCATTCTAAAAAAAGAACAAGGTGAAAAAATTGCGCCTTATGTTTTTAAGATCAATGACACCCAAACACTCCAGAAATATCTAGATAAGAAAAAAATCACTTATGAACTTTACCAAGAAGAGCGAAAAATAATAAACCATAAACGAACCTTAACCCCAACTTATGATGAACCAAGAAAAAAACGAAAATTAGAAGACAGATAAGGAAAGCAGTTTAGCATTCCTTATAGTTTTTAACTTGTTGATAAAAAACTATTTGAATGCATTTATTGAGCTTTGACCGCGTTCACTACTTTGACACAATGCAATTAAAGAGTCAAAAAATGTAAAAATAATTATTATGAATAACATAAATGATAAACAATTGTTTGTAAAAAACAGCCAACAAAAAAGCCAAGAAATAATTAATGAATTAAATGAAAAATTTAAGAAAAGAAAACTAAATCCCTCGGAAATGTTAGCTCGCTTTCAGTGATACCGCCAAAATGGCTTACCAACAAAAATCAATTCCCTAATCGAAAAATTTGCTCTTGAAGAAACAGGGAAAAATCGTGGTAGGATACCGCAACTCATTTTAGAAAGTGATTTTCCTAAATTAAGAGAAGAGATAAATAAAACCATCAATGCTCGCAAGAAATTAGAAAGGCTAGAAAAAATAAGACCAAGATATAGTAGCACTAATTACACAGATTTTGATGATTATTACGAAAGCATAAAAAGATTATGAGAAAGTCAAATTGAATCGGAAAAGGAGTTATTAAATCTTAACGAAGCACAATGAGAACAAATTCATAAAGTTAACCAAAAACTTTGAGAAGCAGTCAAAGAAAAAGGCTGAAAAGATTCCCAACCAGTTTGAGTTAAAGAATATTTAGCTCGCCAGCAATTTTATTGACAAAATAACTTGCCTGTCGAATTAAATCTAATAATTGAAGAAGTAGTAGCTAGTGATTATACTCATTTTTCTCAACAGAATAATTATAAAAGACTAGTTGATTATGATAAGGAAAGAAACCAGCATTTAGCAAACCTAGTCCGGTTTCAAGACTATCTAAAGAATTTAGAGCAAGAAAAAGAAAATTATTTAATCAACATTCAAGAAGCTTTAAATACTGAAATACCTGGCATTGAAGAATTAAGAAAAAAGACAAGGCAACAAAAAGAGATTGAAAAAATTCTTGCCAAGGAAATTAAAGAATACCAAGCAAAATGGAAACAATATTTAGCCACTAAACCCTTGCCTGAATTGTCTCAAAAACAAAACAAAATAAAAGCCTTAGGTAACAAACTTAAAACTGAATTTAAGCAAGTATTTACATCTAAAGAATACTTAAAACCAATTAATAGCAATGGTTCTAATTTTTTAACTTTGTTTATGGCTACTGGTTTGATTTTTAGAAAATAGAAAAAAATTTGACAATATTTATTTAGACTGGCTTTGGACAAGTAATGTCTTTAAATTTATCTCTAACAAATGGGCGAATATTATGATAAAGATATTCTTGCCTTTTGTAATCCAAAGGAGGTGGTGTCAATATTAGAATGGATAAAGATTTAATTTCTTTGGTAATTTCAGAAACACTTGCTTTTCTGGTTTTTAATAAATTAAATTCAGTAAAAGAACCATTAGCAACTAGCTGAGCTTTGACAACTCCAGGATTAGTTGTTTCAAAAAGAAAATGTTGATATTTTTGCAACCCACTCA